CAGTTTGCATTTTCAATAATAAACCCATTTCCAGCAACATGCTTTTGTTGTTGCTCTATTTTTTTGTTTTCTGAAGCAACTCGGAGCATGTTTCATACTCGCTATCCTGGTTAATGCACGCTTCAGTCTATAAGAACAATCAGCCTACACTACAGTCAAAGGGTGTTGAACCGCAAGATTTTTAATGTTTCTTAAAGAATTAACTTCTGCTCACCGAGCCTGCATTTATTTGATCCAAAATGCACCAAGAGCAGTAACATTTTGAAAAATATATTTTAAAATGTAATTTATTCATGTGATCAAAGCTAAATTTTCAGCATCATTAGGCCTACTCCAGTCTTCAGTGTCACATGATCTTCAGAAATCAGTATAATATGCTGATCTGCTGATTATCAATATTTAAAACAGCTGAGTCAATTTTTTCAGGATTCTTTGATGAATAGAAAGATCCAAAGATCAGCATTGATCTGAAATAAAAAGGTTTTGTAACATTATACACTCTACCACTCAAAAGCTCTTTTAAAAATTTATATTATAGAAATGTATACTTTTATTTAGCAAGGATGCTTTAAATTGATCAAAAGTGATGATAAAGACATTTATAATGTTATAAAAGATTTCTATTTCAGATAAATGCTGTTCTTCTGAACTTTCTATTCATCAAAGAAACCTGAAAAAATTCTACTCAGCTGTTTTCAACATCAACATTTATTAACATTTTGAAATGTCACTGCTTTTGCTGTATTTTGGATCAAATAAATGCAGGCTTGGTGAGCAGAAGAGACTTCTTTAAAAAAAAAACATTAACAATCTTGCAGTTCGACAACTTCTGACTGGTGTGTTAGCCTATAGTTTGGAGTAAAAAATATTAATATTAATAAGGAGAGTCTGAGATTTATTTGACAGTGATTTCACATTTCTTGTTTGTATGAAGGCTAAATACCAATAAAAGGTGAACATTTATTTATTTGCGCCATTTTTTTCCCCCTAAAATATTATATAGTTTTATAGGAGTAGGTTTCATAGAGTTGGCAAATTAATTTTTCACAAGTTTGTAGATACAGACATCTGTTGTGGCCGTTCTTGGCCGTTTTTATGAGGCTTTTTTAATAGAGTTCATATCGATATCGGAATTGCATCGTATCGACCGAAATTAAGAAATATATCGTGATATCGTGATATGCCATATCGTCCAGCCCTATGATGTTATCATTTTGCTAGCATGATTAACATGTTGGTAGCATGTTTCTAAGTTTCTAACAATATTGTTCGCATGATTAGCATGTTTCGAGCATGAGTAGCATCTTTAGCGAAGTATTTCAATGATTCTAAAATAACACTGGTTTATATGAACTGAAGCATTGGGTCAGGCAGTCAAATTGTCATTTGCACCTTGATGACACGTCTAGAAAGAAAGCAGACTTATATGAAGAACATTTTAGCAACTATTTAGTAAATGTAGTAAAGTATTTATAGAAAGCATGCCATCAGTCGTCCGTATGACTCCTGTGAGAGGAACTGGTCCAAACTTAAGCCGGTACTCACTCAAAATGATGTCAAACCTGCAGATTTGAGAGGTGCGGAAGATTATCAGAGAATAATTCCTCACACAGAACTGTAGTAAGTACAGTCTCCTTTCCTGCAGAGACTCTGATGCTCAGGTCTTGTGTGCTTCAGGTAAAAGCATCTACGGAAGCACGTTTGCAGACGAGAGCTTCAGGCTCAAGCATCTGGGCGCAGGTTGGGTCAGCATGGCGAACGCCGGACCCAACACCAACGGCTCGCAGTTCTTCATTACTTTAGCCCGAGCGCCGTGGCTGGACGGAAAACACGTGGTGTTTGGCAAAGTCTTGGAGGGGATGGTATGAGAAAAACACACGTCTGTCTCCTACTACACACGCAAAGACTAGAAAACCTACAGTCAGATTTATTTCTGTAGCGCTTTATAGAGTACAGAATGTTTCAAAGCAGCTCCACCATACACTGAGACGATGGGAACATCGAACTGCTTTATTCAAGCCAGAAATATTATTAAATATTACTAAACCTATTGCATACGGGTCAAAGACGAGACGTCCCATTCTGGTGACCGCATCAAATTACATTCCCAAAAGTGATTTTATATCAAATTAATAGTGCTGTCAAATCGATTAATCGTGATTAATCGCATCCAAAATAAAAGTTGTGATTACATAATATATAAATACACACACACATACATGTATATATTTAAGAACTAAATGTAATATATATATAATTATGAATATATACACATTAAAGTATATAAATATACACAGTACACACACAGAAACTTTTATTTTGGATGCAATTAATCGCGATTAATCGCTTTGACAGCACTACAAATGTAATATTAATGCCAGTCAAGTGTCTGCTTCAAATAACTTTTGTGAAAATAAAATGTCACAAAAATGGGTTAAATAATCATTCAGCATAACAGATGTGTTTCTATAAAAGTGAAACAACATATTTATTCTGACCTGTACTTATATAAACGAATAAGCAATCATACTAAATCTTAGAATATATTAAGTGATTAAAAGCTTCTTGCTGACAAATGGGTCAAACCTAGTGGTTTGAAGGAAAGATTGGGGTTGATCTGTGATCCTTAAATAGTCTTTTAATTTCATTAATGATTCTGGTTCTAAATATGTAAATAAGATGTTTTTGTTGTATGAATTATACACTGAAAGACATTTTAGAGGACGACTTCACTAAGTCATGATAAAAATGTATGATAGTCGTTATTTTTTTACTCAGAAAAAATCAAATCAGACAGGACACATTCTAAATTTAAAGTTTAAATTTTTTAATTTAAAGCTGTATTCAAATTTTATTGATTTGATGCTTAAAAACCCCTTTTCGTCTTTCCCCCATAAACATTGATTCATACCAACAAAAGTGATTTGTATGAGTTAAAGTAGGTAGAAATAGCTCCTTAAGTGAACAACCACTTGTTACAATGTAATTAAACAGGAAATGAAAACTCTTAATGTTGCAAAGTTCTCCAGTTATGAAATGAATAGAATTTGAGCTGCTCTAAAAATGCACAAGTGTCAATATTGGACTCGGTTTGCTTTCAGTGCTGATTAAAATTTTAATAGTTCAATATTTAGTAGTTAAAGCATTAGCTCACTTCCAGAATCAACATCTCCTGATAATTTACTCGCCCCCATGTTATCCAAGATGTTCATGTCTTTCTGTCTTGAGTCGCAAAGAAATGAAGGTTTTTGAGGAAAACATGATTCCAGGATTTTTCTCCATATAATGGACTTCAATGGGGATCATCGGGTTGAAGGTACAAAGAGCTCTACACGATCCCAGCCGAGGAATAAGAGTCTTTTTACAGCTCTGCTTGCTTCACTGAATCACTGTTTTCTTGTCTAGGGCTGTAAATCTGTATTGTATAAAGCGCTGTAGAAATGAAGGTGACTTGACTTCAATAGCAAGTTCATCAGGTTTGGCACAAACGTGTAAAGCAGCTGTATTCTGCATTTCTGTGTTTCAGGCTGTGGTTCACACCATCGAGCTCCAGGACACGAACGATCGTAACCTGCCCTACACCGAGTGTGTGATCGTCAACAGCGGGAAGATCAAGCTCAAAGAGCCCTTCGTTGTGGAAGTGGAGGGATGGTGAACGTCTGATTTCTGTCTTCGTGTGTTCATATCGTGACGGTTGAGTTGTGCTGCGACCGCTTCCTCCATCGTATCGTCATTCGATTCTTCTCTTACTATGCAGGCACTTTTTCTACGGAGAAATCACACGATCATATGTGTGTGTTTCCCACGCTTTATCATGCTGTAGGACGGTTTACTGCAGAAATCAACGACACACGCGTTTATTACGAGCCTCTGAGTGCCATAAAACACACATACTTGAATTTAGTTTGAAATCTCGACTATTTGAATTATGACATGTAGAAACACAAATAAGCTATTAGAATAATCCGTCTTTTATTTTAAGAAAAGATGTAAATATGGTTCATTTTGACCTTGTTTTGCATTCATATTTGTGACCCTGGAGCACAAAACCAGTCATAAGGGTAAATTTTGTGAAATTGAGATTTATGCATCAGCTGAAAGCTGAATAAATAGCATTCCATTGATGTATGGTTTGTTAGGATAGCACTTTTATGAGGCTTTTTTAATAGAGTTCATATCGATATCGGAATTGCATCGTATCGACCGAAATTAAGAAATATATCGTGATATAAATTTTGGCCATATCGTCCAGCCCTATGATGTTATCATTTTGCTAGCATGATTAACATGTTGGTAGCATGTTTCTAACACGATTATCATATTGTTCGCATGATTAGCATGTTTCGAGCATGAGTAGCATCTTTAGCGAAGTATTTCAATGATTCTAAAATAACACTGGTTTATATGAACTGAAGCATTGGGTCAGGCAGTCAAATTGTCATTTGCACCTTGATGACACGTCTAGAAAGAAAGCAGACTTATATGAAGAACATTTTAGCAACTATTTAGTAAATGTAGTAAAGTATTTATAGTTAGCATGTTTCGAGCATGAGTAGCATCTTTAGCGAAGTATTTCAATGATTCTAAAATAACACTGGTTTATATGAACTGAAGCATTGGGTCAGGCAGTCAAATTGTCATTTGCACCTTGATGACACGTCTAGAAAGAAAGCAGACTTATATGAAGAACATTTTAGCAACTATTTAGTAAATGTAGTAAAGTATTTATAGAAAGCATGCCATCAGTCGTCCGTATGACTCCTGTGAGAGGAACTGGTCCAAACTTAAGCCGGTACTCACTCAAAATGATGTCAAACCTGCAGATTTGAGAGGTGCGGAAGATTATCAGAGAATAATTCCTCACACAGAACTGTAGTAAGTACAGTCTCCTTTCCTGCAGAGACTCTGATGCTCAGGTCTTGTGTGCTTCAGGTAAAAGCATCTACGGAAGCACGTTTGCAGACGAGAGCTTCAGGCTCAAGCATCTGGGCGCAGGTTGGGTCAGCATGGCGAACGCCGGACCCAACACCAACGGCTCGCAGTTCTTCATTACTTTAGCCCGAGCGCCGTGGCTGGACGGAAAACACGTGGTGTTTGGCAAAGTCTTGGAGGGGATGGTATGAGAAAAACACACGTCTGTCTCCTACTACACACGCAAAGACTAGAAAACCTACAGTCAGATTTATTTCTGTAGCGCTTTATAGAGTACAGAATGTTTCAAAGCAGCTCCACCATACACTGAGACGATGGGAACATCGAACTGCTTTATTCAAGCCAGAAATATTATTAAATATTACTAAACCTATTGCATACGGGTCAAAGACGAGACGTCCCATTCTGGTGACCGCATCAAATTACATTCCCAAAAGTGATTTTATATCAAATTAATAGTGCTGTCAAATCGATTAATCGCGATTAATCGCATCCAAAATAAAAGTTGTGATTACATAATATATAAATACACACACACATACATGTATATATTTAAGAACTAAATGTAATATATATATAATTATGAATATATACACATTAAAGTATATAAATATACACAGTACACACACAGAAACTTTTATTTTGGATGCAATTAATCGCGATTAATCGCTTTGACAGCACTACAAATGTAATATTAATGCCAGTCAAGTGTCTGCTTCAAATAACTTTTGTGAAAATAAAATGTCACAAAAATGGGTTAAATAATCATTCAGCATAACAGATGTGTTTCTATAAAAGTGAAACAACATATTTATTCTGACCTGTACTTATATAAACGAATAAGCAATCATACTAAATCTTAGAATATATTAAGTGATTAAAAGCTTCTTGCTGACAAATGGGTCAAACCTAGTGGTTTGAAGGAAAGATTGGGGTTGATCTGTGATCCTTAAATAGTCTTTTAATTTCATTAATGATTCTGGTTCTAAATATGTAAATAAGATGTTTTTGTTGTATGAATTATACACTGAAAGACATTTTAGAGGACGACTTCACTAAGTCATGATAAAAATGTATGATAGTCGTTATTTTTTTACTCAGAAAAAATCAAATCAGACAGGACACATTCTAAATTTAAAGTTTAAATTTTTTAATTTAAAGCTGTATTCAAATTTTATTGATTTGATGCTTAAAAACCCCTTTTCGTCTTTCCCCCATAAACATTGATTCATACCAACAAAAGTGATTTGTATGAGTTAAAGTAGGTAGAAATAGCTCCTTAAGTGAACAACCACTTGTTACAATGTAATTAAACAGGAAATGAAAACTCTTAATGTTGCAAAGTTCTCCAGTTATGAAATGAATAGAATTTGAGCTGCTCTAAAAATGCACAAGTGTCAATATTGGACTCGGTTTGCTTTCAGTGCTGATTAAAATTTTAATAGTTCAATATTTAGTAGTTAAAGCATTAGCTCACTTCCAGAATCAACATCTCCTGATAATTTACTCGCCCCCATGTTATCCAAGATGTTCATGTCTTTCTGTCTTGAGTCGCAAAGAAATGAAGGTTTTTGAGGAAAACATGATTCCAGGATTTTTCTCCATATAATGGACTTCAATGGGGATCATCGGGTTGAAGGTACAAAGAGCTCTACACGATCCCAGCCGAGGAATAAGAGTCTTTTTACAGCTCTGCTTGCTTCACTGAATCACTGTTTTCTTGTCTAGGGCTGTAAATCTGTATTGTATAAAGCGCTGTAGAAATTAAGGTGACTTGACTTCAATAGCAAGTTCATCAGGTTTGGCACAAACGTGTAAAGCAGCTGTATTCTGCATTTCTGTGTTTCAGGCTGTGGTTCACACCATCGAGCTCCAGGACACGAACGATCGTAACCTGCCCTACACCGAGTGTGTGATCGTCAACAGCGGGAAGATCAAGCTCAAAGAGCCCTTCGTTGTGGAAGTGGAGGGATGGTGAACGTCTGATTTCTGTCTTCGTGTGTTCATATCGTGACGGTTGAGTTGTGCTGCGACCGCTTCCTCCATCGTATCGTCATTCGATTCTTCTCTTACTATGCAGGCACTTTTTCTATGGAGAAATCACACGATCATATGTGTGTGTTTCACACGCTTTATCATGCTGTAGGACGGTTTACTGCAGAAATCAACGACACACGCGTTTATTACGAGCCTCTGAGTGCCATAAAACACACATACTTGAATTTAGTTTGAAATCTCGACTATTTGAATTATGACATGTAGAAACACAAATAAGCTATTAGAATAATCCGTCTTTTATTTTAAGACAAGATGTAAATATGGTTCATTTTGACCTTGTTTTGCATTCATATTTGTGACCCTGGAGCACAAAACCAGTCATAAGGGTAAATTTTGTGAAATTGAGATTTATGCATCAGCTGAAAGCTGAATAAATAGCATTCCATTGATGTATGGTTTGTTAGGATAGCACAATATTTGTAAATCTGGAATCTGAGGGTGCAAAAAAATCTAAATATTGAGAAAATCATCTTTAAAGTTGTTCAAATGAAGTTCTTAGCAATGCATATTACTAATCAAACATTAAGTTTTGATATATTTACGGTAGGACATTTACTAAATATCTTCATGGAACATGATCTTTACTTAATATCCTAATGATTTTTGGCATAAAAGAGAAATGTATAATTGTGACCCATACAATGTATTGTTGGCTATTGCTACAAATATCCCCCAGCGACTTAACACCGCTTTTGTGCTCCAGGCTCACATATAGCAACTAAATCAACCACTGTATTAGATCCTAGATCCTTGGATTTCAATAATTAATTGTATATATTTACTGTCTAAAAAGAAAGTTTCATAATCAACCATATCATTTAAATTAGTTATGGCTTTGCTAAACACAGCCTCTGTATTAATATGATGTATTTCAGAATGAAACAAAATATTCACTGAGCAATGATGAAAAGCGCTTCACGCACAATACGAGTAGAACCATGAATTAAGAGCATAAAGAGAGTGGGTTTGGATTTCATGTCGACTTTATGATCAATAATGCTGCTGAATAAAATACTCTTCTCCTGAATGTGTTTTCCGTCCTTTATTTCTGTGCAAAAACATCAGAGTGTGATTCATGTTAACTAATGTAACCGCACTGTAAAGTGTTTCCATTAATCAGCATTACAGTAAAGAGAATGAGAATTTGTTTTCTGAGATACACCCACAGGCGCAAACCTTTATTTTGCGGGGTTTATGAAGGTAAATCTAAGACATTTGTAAGAACAATTAAGAAAATTCAAGGAATAAATAAATAAAGGGAACACGATAAATATGTCAATATGTTCTCTAAATGTAAATATCTACACAATGAGCAACACTTTAAAGATTAAAATTTTTTAACTTCCAACCAGTTATTTTGAGAAGCTGTTATAGTTTTTGTTAATATTATAAATATTTTTTTATTTTTATATTATAATTTGAAAAAAATTTTTTTTTGTAATTTTAAAGTGTAAGTAATTTTACTGTTTTGTCAGATAAATTAGTTTATTTTATTTTATTGTTTTAATATTGTGAATATTCTTTATAATTTTTTTTTTTTTTGGTATAAGTTTTAGTTATGAATGGGAAATGTTGCCTTGGCAAGTAGGCTAAATAAAGTAATTTATTTTATTTTATTTTAAGTAAAAAAAATAAATATATATATATATATATTTGTATTGGAAAACGACAAAAACACTGAGGAAGAAATTCATTTTTAGTAATAAATGCATCATTTAATGCCGTGACTTTACGAATTTAGCACTTTCTGCTCTGATTTAAGAGCTTTTTAAGACCTGCAGAAACCCCGTTTTGGTTTTTTAACGATCTAAATGAGTAATCAGACGTCGCTGTTTCAGCAGAACCCCGATGTTTTACTCAGACAGTGTGCGGTTAAATAAAGCCCAAACTCACAGATCTGGCAGACACTGACGTCTCCACCGTGACCTCTTACAACATCTCCAACCAACAAGTGCAGCTCTGAGGAGCTCTGGGAGCCGCTTTGGAGAATAGCAGCGAATCGATGGAGGAGCTGGAAGTGTGTCCGGCGTGGAGGTGAGCGGAGATGACAGGCTTCATTATCAGCAGAGCGGGAGTCCCTCAGGAGCGCTCCTGCTGCATGATGGGACAGTTTGCTGGAAAGGTCAAGAGCAGACAAATCAGCCCGGCAGAAAGCATCTTAAACTGCCCCTGATAGAGGCAGAGCTCAGAAACTCCTGTTTCACACTGCTCTGTGTCTATTAGATCATCACAGACGACCGAAAAAAACACTGCTCATCAGATGATTACCAATTATCAAATGCATCCTCCTCTAACGTGGCTTTTTTATATAATATTGCCAGCGTTGCATATTGATTCCAGAGGCTGTTTGAGCACTAAAGTCTCTCTGCTGACAAGCGAATCGTTTACAGATCTCCTCTCAGTTTCTGCCGCATTGACGTCCCTGTAATGACCCGTCTGACCCTAACTCTGACCATTATTACCCAGAGTCCTGCAGGTCTTTACAATTAGACGTGTCTGACAGATCAGATCAGACGTCCGAGCTGTTATTCTGCTTCGAAGTGACACTCACATTAATATCAGCCAGTTAGCAAATACTTTCATTTTGATTCAAGTTTAATTTCAGCTGTTTTACACATGAGTCCCGACAAAAGTCTATTCTGCTCAATAGAGCTGCATTTATTTGATCAAAAATACAGTAAAAATTTGAAATATTATTAGAATTTCAAACAGCTGTTTTCTATGTGAGTATCTGTTAAACTGTAATGTATTTCTGTGACGCGCAGCTGTATTTTCAGCATCATTCCTCCAGTCTTCAGTGTCACATGATCTTCAGAAATCAGTATAATATGC